TTAATGGAGCCAGACCCCCAGCTGGCGGGAACCGCCCAGAGCTCCACTGGGGTCAATGGGGCCAGACCCCCAGCTGGCGGGAACCGCCCAGAGCTCCATTGGGGTCAATGGGGCCAGACCCCCAGCTGGGGGGAACCGCCCAGAGCTCCACTGGGGTCAATGGGGCCAGCCCCCAGCGGGCGGGAACCGCCCAGAGCTCCATTGGGGTCAATGGGGCCAGACCCCCAGCTGGCGGGAACCGCCCAGAGCTCCATTGGGGTCAATGGAGCCAGACCCCCAGCTGGCGGGAACCGCCCAGAGCTCCACTGGGGGTCAATGGAGCCAGACCCCCAGCTGCTGGGAACCGCCCAGAGCTCCATTGGGGTCAATATGGGGCCAGCCCCACAGCGGCAGTTAATCAGCCATCTCCCCACCCCGCACCAATTAACTTCAGAGAAGGGTTTGTCTGTCACTCCCAGAGTGGTCTACAAAGGAGGTTGGGAGCATTATCCCATTAGGCGGGCGGGGAAACTGAGGCATGGGTCATCCCGGCAGGGCTCGAGCGAGGCATTCAGGAGATCTCTGTTCGCTTCCTGGCTCTAGGACAGACCCCTGGTCCTGCCGAGAAGGGGGGTCGGGAACAGGGTGAAGATGGTGCTGAGATGCCCCGGTCCTGGGAACCAGAGTGGGGCAGAGCCACTGATGGCGCTGCTCGCTGGGGAGAACTAGTCCAGTGTTCGCCTCTAGGCTTCGTGGCCCCCTTTGCCCAGGGCGGAGCTTACAGGCATGTGTCCGCGTGGCAGGTGGCGGCTGCAAGATCAGGGAGAAGGGGGTCCCTAGGGACCGCGGGGGTTGTGGCAACAGAGACGGTCTGTGGCACAACCCCCCGGCTCGCCTGTGCCCCACCCAACGCTGGTTGTACCCCCTAGGTTTGCCCTTTGACCCCACCTACTTCCTGAGCCGCACGGTGTCCAACGTCATCAGCTCCGTGGTCTTCGGGGACCGGTTCGACTACGAGGACAAGGAGTTCCTCTCCCTGCTCCACATGATCACCGAGAGCTTCCGCTTCACCGCCACGGCCTGGGGGCAGGTATGCCGGGGGGGGGGGCAGGCCACGGCCCACGGCCCTGAGACATGTCTGCACAGTGCTGCGGGGATCGGGGGGAGCGCTGGTTAGCTAGGGGAGCGGAGGGGGATGCGAGAACGCTGGGAGGGCAGCGAAGAGGAAAACCTGGGACCTGCAGTGATGGGTATGAAATAGATACAGGGGAATGTTGGGGGATGGACAGAGAGTGTGAATGGAAATAGATAGATAGATAGAGGGGTGGATGGGGATAGATAGATAGATAGATAGATAGATAGATAGATAGATAGAT